ATAAAATTGCATAAATTAAAATTTAATGTAGTAATAACATTAAAATTAATTTACCAAGTGTTAAATTATTTGTAGTTTTTAAGTATTCATCAATTTCCCAATTAACTTTAATAACTTCTTTATTTAATAAAATGTTGGCAAGATATTCAGGGGTAGGTAGTGTATATGAAGATCGCAGAGATTTAAGTATATCAATAAACCATGGATTCTCAATTATGGAAAATGGAAGCCCACACATAGCAAAAGCCTTAATAATTGCACGATCAACTGCCTCTTTTTTAGAACCAGCCAAAATTTGATTTTCATTTTTCCAATAATCATTAATATTTATTTTCTGTTTTTTAGATTGTTTTGAACCAGATGCTTGGGTTTTTTCTTTTAAATTTTGTCATTGAATTACAATTTCTTGATATTTTTCTCTTATCTCATTATCAAGATTTTTATCTTCACATTCTTTTGCAAGATTATCTCAAGCTGATTAGGACATCCACGATTAAATTGTGTAGAACAATATTTACATTTGGCAGCAAAATAACCAGACGATTTCAATGGAGTTGCAAAAAAATGATCCCAAACAGGGTCTGGTGGTCTTCCTCCAGGATGTTTTAGACGTGCATCTTTCTCAGCTTTTTCAGACGAATATTGGGAAGCTATTGAAGGTGAGTCATAAGTTACTGAAGTTAAATCGCATGAAGACATTGAAGAAATTATGCAAATCGTGAAAGATGGCTTATGCCAAAATAAATAGATTTTTAAAAATAAAAAAAAAATAAATCGCCAATGAATAAATAACCATTTTAGCATAAGCGAAAACTAAGCTGGTGTGAGAAAATTATGCGAAGCCATTAATGCAAAGAAAAAAAATTATATTTGGCAAAAACGCCAATAAATGAATATTTCATAAATATTCATGATATATATCAATGAATAATTTCAAGATGTTAATTTGATTATAACATATCCATTCTTATGTTTAATTCAAATTAAGAAACCGATTATTGTTTTTGCCCCAAAATCTTAAAACATTACAACTATTTTTTTATCGTTATAATAAAATTATTCTAATCATTTGCTAAACTTGTTAAGTTTTTGACTTCAGTATGATTATGCTATATCAAGTAAGTCTTTTATTAGATCGATCAGTTGTCTGAAGAAAAAAAGCGATAATTTTTTATTTTTTTTACTTTGCAATTTGACTTATCGATTACTAATAATTAACGTTGTATGATCTATCTTATAGATCACATGCAGCACATTTGCTACAAGACTATTCAGATTAAATTACATATAAAATAGCTACGCACTAAAAGTTACATGCGACTGGTCGTACATATATTGTAAAATTCATGACTAAAATGGTAAGCTATAAACGTAATACAAAATATGATTTCAATAGAGGGTGTAAAGACATTTTTGGATTAAATTTAAATGCTGCAAAAAAGTAATGCATAACCAGTATATTTTAGAATTTAGAAGCTACGCACCATAACGATAAGTTTTTATTTAAAAGAAGACATCACAAGGTAATCACCCCGCAATTTATGATTATAAAATATGCATGCGATGCAAATTTTTGTGTAAATAAGTTGTTGAAAATTACTAATATTCTAGAGATGCTATGATATTTTTGGGACAAGGCTTTTTTTTAAATAATGGTTATATATGTCTAAATGTTCTTCGTAGTTGGTTACAAAATGAAAAAAATAGTTATGTACGTACTTAAATGCTTTTATTTTAGAATTTGTGGGGTTTAAAAGAATAGCACATTCAGAGAATTTTCTTGATCAAAATTTCTCACATTTTAATTAACCCTTATCATCTATAGAATTTCTTGAATTCTCAATAGAAAGTTCTCAAGACTCGTTCAATGAAAAGTGAAATACGTAACTCGTATATATACACGTATTTTATACATAAAAAATTCTTTAATAAATACCATAAAAGTTCATATACAAGATCCCCCCATATATCAGACCCACCTCTATTTTTTACTAATTAATTTCTTTTTTTTATTAATTAATTTTTTTGCTGGAATGTAAGAGACCCGGGTCTTGTATATGAACTTTTATGGTAATTCAAATATGGTATCAAGATTGATAAATTTAGAAACTGACCCCTGAAACCTATCACATCATCTTTGATTTTTTATCAGGTATATTTAATGCGGGCTTTTTTAAATAACAACTCCTTATGACCTCATACTTACTCAACTATCCGTTAATCCTTTATCAATACATCATACATATCTCTCTCTTAAATACATCACCCCTTGTCATCAACTTAAAACTTACGATTACCCTGCATCATGGGCCCGAGTCAAACCTTAAAACCAGGATTTTAGTTAAATCGATCTTCATTGGTGTAAAACCTGAAAAAATCTTGTAAGAGAAGTCCTTAGATATATAAAAAACTGGTTTTTATATATATAAAACTAATCGGGTCACTTGTAAGCATATTTAATATGGATGTTAAATCGGTAACCGCTATAAAATTTAACATTAAATCCCATACGATTGTATATACGTATACATACTATATAGTATGAACTGTACATATTAAATATTTTTGCATTTTTTTTTTTTACTATTTAATATTCTATATTAACACTTCACACAATATATAACAACGGAAAAAGACAAAAACTCTTTCCCGTAAATCCCTAGTACAAAAAATTCCCAAAAATTCTAAAACACAAAAACACTTTTTACATCTAATTTTATTAAGTAATCATACTATTTAGTCTTAAATAAAA